AGGAAGACAGCTCAATCTGGGTTTTTTATTTTATTTTTTATTATTTGAGGTGTTTTATTTTTATCTTCCTCTTGCCAATACTGGAGATCAGACTGAGGTTTTTCATACTGAGCTTCATCTCTGGCCTTTCAAATTTTTAAATTTTGAGACAAGGTCTAAACTGCTGAATTGTCCAAACTGCTTGGATTTTTGATCCTCCTCCCTTAGCGTCCAATAGGTTATTGGATTATTGTATGAACTACCACACTTGACTTAATGGGGCCATTTTTACTGCAAAGGCCAGGTGCAGCCCTTCCCCTTTTAGCCCTCACATCCTGATGTTCTTTGATTATTATTTTTTTTTTTGAGTTTTTTTTTTTTTTTTTTTCAGAACCAGGGATTGAACTCAGGCCCTTGGGCTTCCCAGGGAAGCGCTCATTCCACTGAGCCATCTCCCCGGCCCCTATTATTTTTTTTTGAAACAGGCTCTTATTATGTAGTTAAAGCTGGCAGTGAACTCTCTTTGTAGCCCAGGATGGCCTTGAACTCACAGGGATTCTCCTGTCTCAGCCTGAGGAATGCTGGGATTATAAATGTAATCCTGTTCCTTCAGACAGGAAGGCCTGCATCTAGCTTTTGTCCTGCCTGCCATGCATCTGTACCTTGGCTTCAAGGGGCTGCGCACTACCAGGCCCTCACCCCGCCTCTCCCATTCTTGGCCATGACCTTGGCCCTCCGGCTGCCGCTGTTCCAGTTCTTTCATATTGTCACCTGTACTTTTCCAGGGACCCTAGTCACAGCTCCATTTAGCCCTCACTTACAAGCCCTTCCTTGGCTTCCTCCCTGTGAGCCTCTCTCAGAACACTGAGGTTACCATCTTCACAGTCCCTGGCAGGTGGAAAGGCTTCTTAGCCCATCTCTGCCTTTGTCTCCCTCAAACCATTTCCATGCAGCAGTCAAAGCCTAAATGATTTTATTAGAGAAATAATATCATTCCCTCAAAACCTCGGCATGTCTTTCCCTGGTAACAGCCCCTTCCCTTGGCCTGCCAGACCCCACACCATCAGTTCCCTGCACACTTCCTCTGGAGGACAAATATGTCCCCTTGCAGGCCAGGTAGGTGCTTCCCAGGCCCTTCCCACATCAGTTCCCTCTGTCAGGGATCTCACTCTTTTTCTTTTGTTTGTTTCCTTTTTGAAACAAGGTATTGTTTTTGTAGTTCATGCTGGCTTTGAACTCTTGAACTTACTGTGTAGTTCAGCCTGGCTACAAAGTCATGGTGATTTTCCCATCTCACCCTTCTGTCAAACACGCCCAGCTCCTTCTTCTTCTTTTTTTTTTTTTTTTTCAGTACTGGAGATTGAACTCAGGACCCTGCACCTGCACTTGCCAGGCAAGAGCTTATTCTACTGAGCTATCTCCCCGGCCCTCCCTATCCTTTTAAAGATGTCCCTTCCCCATCATATTTCAGGCTCTCTTCCTCTCAGTAACCCAGCACATTCTCTGACACCCACAAGTCCTGAATAAATGATGATAGTTTTGTATCTTGTGTGTTCTCCTGACTTCTCACCCTCATTCTCTATGTCTCTCTCTTTTTGTACCAGGGATTAAACTCAGGACCTTGCACTTGCCAGGCAGGTGCTTAAGCCGTTGAGCTATCTCCCCAGCCTTCAGAGATCCTCCTACCTCAGCCTCCTGAGTGGGATTACAGGCATGGACCACCATGCCTGGCTAAATCAATTGGTCCTGTGACATCTGGTAATGCCTATACCTAATTATCCTGCCAACCCCAAAGGGCTTGACCTTCCTGGGGCTCAGAGCTTTCTTGTCTACTATGCCCAGGAACCATCTCTCTTTTTTTTTTTTGGCGGAACTGGGGGTTGAACTCAGGCCCTTGCACTTGCCAGGGAAGCACTTATTTCACTGAGCCATCTCCCTGGCCCCTTGGAACCATCTCTTACTTGGTGGTAGAGCGAGTATCTAGCAAGTCAAGACCCATGGTTGGATCCTCAATGCATTCTCCCCACCAGATAAAAATGAAAAAATCATCTCAGCAAGCAAGTGATGCACACACATAACCCCAGTTCCTTGAGAGAAGCAAAAGCAGGATGGAAAATTCCAGTCAATTCATCACAACCCTGTTCCCATGTGGTGGATTTAGCAGGTATGTTCCAGGCTCTTGTGTTACATGAACAGCGAGCTAGTCGCAAATGAACACCAGACAGCAGGTAGAAAGCAGCTACATTTATTGAAGATCACAGGAAGCTGTGGGCAGGGCAGTCCCTGCAGACAGAAAAGTGGTGCTGGGGTGACAGGATAGCAAAAGCACAGCTTGCAACAGCAGCCCCCTGATAAATTAAGCTTTCGGAATCCAAAAGGATGTGCATCTTAGCCCTGGTGCCTCCCCGGAATCTAAACAGCATGCTGACTCATAATTCACTCTGATCTTTGTACATCTGTAATTTCAGAGGCTGCAGCAGGATTGTGGCAAGTTCGAGACCAGCCTTGGCTACAAAATGAGATCCAGGCCTGCCTGAACTGCATAGCAAGACCCTTTCTCAGAAAAGACAAAAACAAAACAAAAAAACCCCAGAAAATAATATAAACAAAAGAATTACATGTATTGGCCTGGCCAAATAGCTCAGCGGATTAAAGTGTCTGCAAGCAGGCACAAGGGCAGGGGTTTGATCCCCGGGCCTGCGGAGTGGGCAATTGAGACTGGGCGTGGTGGCACACGCCTATTATCCCAACTCTTGAGAGGCTGTAAACAGGTGGACTGCTATGAGTCCCATCTAGTAGTGAGACCCTGAACACTCTGTAAACCTTCCCTAAAATACACACACACACACAAAAGAAAAAAAAAAAAAAAAAGAATTACATGTATGACATGCAGCATTTATTCATGAATCCTTGATGCTGCTGGAGTAGGGTAAAGGTAACTAAAGGCCGGCTAGGATGCCACAGCATGTGCTCTCACCTATCCATTAGAGTTAGAGTTTGTTATGTGATTTGCTATCTCTCGTAGGACAGTGGAAGGAATAGTCCTGGGTGCCAATGAAAATTAAATCGATGGCCTGGCAAGTACAGGATCCTGAGATACATTCCTGGTATCAAAAAAATTGATGGAAATGAATGACTTCCTCGGTTCCATTATTTTTATTTTTTTTCTCCCTGTTTTTAACTGTATTAATGCATGCTGTCTCAAAATTTTAAAAAACGGGGGGGGGATTACAAAAAAATAATTTAAAAAAATGAAGCTGGGTGTAGTGCTACACAACTGTAACCCCAGCACCAAAAAGGCTAAGGCAGGAGGGTCACTGTGAGTTTGAGGCTAGCCTGGCTACATAGCGAGAATCTGTCTTTTTTTTAACCAGGGATTGAACTCAGGACCTTGTGCTTGCCAGGACAGCATTTATGCCATTGAGCTATATCCCCAGCCCAAGAACCTGTCTTTTTTTTTTTTTTTTTTTTTTTAAGATCCTGTCATAAAGGGAAAAATAAAATCCAGCACCAAAAAAAGCTTCTCCTGGCCCAGGGCTATAACACAGTGGCATAAGCACCTGCCTAACAAGTTCAAGGACCCGAATTCAATCCCTGGTATCAGAAACAAAAAAAAGACCGTTCTATTTTAGAGAGAAAGAACAATA